TTACAGGTATGCACATAATTAAAAATAAAATGAATCTTTTTAAAAATTGTTTTTTATGTTATGTGTATGGATGCAAACCAAATGCATAGGGAGGCCCTAAGAGGCCAGAAGCGGATTCCGATCCCCTGGGACTGGAGTTACAGACAGTTGTGAGCCACCATGTGGGTGCTGGAATTGAACCCAGATCTTCTGGATGAGCAGCACCCACTGAAGCATCTCTCCAGTTCCAACATAAATATATTTTTAAAAAGAAATTATAAACAATGTTGGATATGATAGTACATGCTTGGAAGTCAGAAACAAGCATAATTCTGCAAATTCAGATGCCGCTTGGACCACATATCAAGTTCTAGGCCAACCAGGCTATATACTGAGAATTTGTCTGGGTTGGGGGCAGTGCTTAATAAAACTGGCTGCTCCTCCAGAGGTCCTAGGTTCAATTCCCAGGACCCACATGGCAGCTCACAACTGTCTAACTCCAGTTCCAGAGGATCTGACCCCTTCACGCCAATGCAAATAAATTAAATTTAAAAAAGAATTCACACACAGGGCTGGAGACATGGCTCAGTGGTCAGAAGACCAACCAGGGTTCAATTCCCAGCACCCACATGACAGTTTACAACTTGTCTGTAACTCCAAAATCTGGCATCTTCACACAGACATGCCTGCTGGCAAAATACCAAAGCACATAAAATAAGAATAAATAGGTTATTATAAAAATCACACTCAACAAGGAAATTAAAAAAGGGGTGGGGTTTAAAAAGGAGCTGTTGTGGTGGTATACACCTTAACCCCAGCAATAAAGACCAGCCTGGGACTCAGTCTGTAGAATAGAAAAGTGAGCCTTGAACTCAGAGATCTGCCTGTTTCTGCCTCCTGAATGCTGGGATTAAAGGAGTGCTCCACCTGGCAAAAAAAGAGAATTTTTTTTTTTTTTTTTTTTTTGAGAGAGGGTTTCTTTGTGTAACAGCTGTGACTATCCTGGAACTCACTCTGTAGACCAGGATGACCTTAAACTCACAGAGATCCACCTTCTTCTGCCTCCCAAGTGTTGGGATAAAAGGTGTGTGCCACCACTGCCTGGCAAGAAAGCATTTTTAATTAAAAAAATTTTAAGAGGAGGTTGGAATAAAGCAAAGACAGTTCTACCTATAGATATTCCTGTCTCTGAAGGACAGAAGTGTAAATCAGGAAACACTGGTCTAACTGGGCCAGTCAAGGAAGTATTGAGTCATTTGGCTGGAAACTGTCCCAAACAAGACTGTTTATAAATTTTCTGTCCAGTCCATGTCAAGAGGAAAAACTGATAACTTCAGTGAATGTCAAACATTGCAAGATATGACTTGAGTCTAGAAACTTCTCAGAGACTCAGTTCCTGAGATGATATCTCCCCAGCAACCTCCCTCCTGCCAGTCCATCCCCAAGTCTCAGGGACAAACTTTAGGTCCCAGGAAAGGATTTTGCTCTTCTTACTATTAACATGTGTGAGCACACATTTGAGTGCAGGTACCTGTAGAGGCCAGAGGAGAGTATCAGATTCACGGGAGAGGACTTAGAGGCCATCGTGAGTCACCTGACTTGTGCTGGGAACTGAACTCTGTCCCCTGGGAGAACAGCAAGCACTCTTAATCCCTTAGTCATCTCCCTGGCCCCTTATTCTTCTGACTTTGTTTAGTTTTGAGATAACAGTTTCTCTATATGGCTCTGGCTGTCCTGGAACTCTGTAGACCAGGCTGGCCTTGAACTCAGTCAGAGACTGCCTCCTTCTGCCTCCCCAGTGCTGGGACTGGCTATTAATTTTATTTTAGTTTGTTTTTGTTTGGTTTGGTTGAGTTGCTGTTGTTTTTGTTTTGTTTTGTTTCGTTTCCAAGATAGGATTTCTCTGTAACAGGGTTTCTCTGTAACAGTTCTGGCTGTCCTGGATCTCACTTTGTAGACCACATAGGTTTCAAACTCACAGAGATCCTCGCGACCCAGCCTCTTCCTCCCGAGCGCTGGGGTTAAAGGCTTGTGCCTCCACACCCGGCTTGGTTTCTGTTTGTTTGGTTGGAGACAGGGTCCCTGTACGTAGACCTGGATGGCTGGGGATTCAGCACGTAATAAGGGGCAGGGGCTCAAAGATTCAGCAGTCCCTGATTCCTGATTGCTTCATTACGCTTGGAGTTGTCTAAAAAAGGTAAAGTCTGGAGCTGGGGCACTGTCTTGCTCTGTAGAGTGCCTTGTATAGTGTGCATGAGATACTGAATTCAGCTGACCTCAAGAGGTGTGGAGCCAGGAGACGTGGAGTTTAAGATCATAGTCCTACATAGATAGTTCCTGGCCAATGTGAGCAACCGGAGACCCTGTATATTAAGTAAATTAACAAATGAATAAATCCAGCCAGGCGTGGTGGCAGAAGTCTGTACTGCTAGCACTTGGGAGGTAGAGGCAGGAGGACCAGGAATTAGAGGCCGGCCTTGGCGACGTAACAGTTAAGTAGAGGTCTGAAGAGGCTTTTTGTCAAAAAAAAAAAAAAAAAAAAAAAAAAAACTGACTTTTATTAGAGTGTACTAGTGCTTGGGAAATAAGATTCCAGGACACAATATTGGCTGATGGATGTTTATTCGGGGAGAAATCACATCAGAAACAGATGACTGCCTCAGGTTCCAGTTCCAAGACTGCCTCCTGTTATGAGTAGTTTTTCCTGCCGCCGGTCTGGTCCCACGGCCACGCCAGCCCCAAATAACACACAGAGACACTGTATTAGATACAAAGCTGTTGGCCAGTTACTAGTTTCTTATCGGCTGGCTCTGTCTTAAATATTAACCCGTTTCTATTAATCTAAGTACTGCCACATGGTCTTATCTTACCGGAGAGAGGGGCTGGCGTTCTTCTCTCTCTGTCCTCATCTTGGAACCCCTCCCTACTATTTCCTCTCTCCTCCTTGTCTCCTAGTCCCGCCTATCTTGCTTTCCTATTGGCCAACAGAGCTTTATTCATTAATCAATACTGGAAACGTATTTACAGAATGACATCTCCCATAAGGCTCCGGATGCTCTGTCTCCAACCAGGAAGTAAAATAGCGAGCTGGGGTCTGGGACCCCAGAACTAGCGCCCATTGTTCACATCCACACCTGTCCCCACGCCCCAATGGCTGTGGTCAGTGCAACTGGTGTGGGCCGGTTGGGTATCTCACTACAGTGTACCTAGTAGAAAACTAAAGAATACAAAAGACTCCTTGCATTGACACATCCCGAAATTCCCAAAACTGTCTCTCAAAGGGATAGTGCTGAACTCCTAAGTGACATTTTCTATCAGTCTCTTATTTTTGTGCAAATAAAATTGTATTTCTTCACCATTCTGTATATTACCATATAGAGTTGGATTTTACTTTCTTAGAAGATTTTCTTCATGGGACCAGAAAGATGGCTCAGTAGCTAAGAGCACTTGCTGTCCTTGCAAAAGACACGGATTTGGGTGCTAGCACCCATGCAAACAATTTACCATCTTCTGAACTGCAGCTCCAAGACATCTGATACCCTCTTCTGTCCTCCTGCAGCTCCTGTACACAATGTGGTACACATCCAAGCATGCAGACCAACCGTTTTATACACAAAATGAAAATGAGAAATACTTTTAAAACTATGTATTTTCATTATTTTTTAATGATGCGTATGTGTATGCATATATTTGGTGTGTGCATGTATGCACGATGCATAAGACGACCAGAGACAAAACGAGCTGGAATGAGAAGCAGTTGTCAACCTCCTGACCTCCACCCCCGCCACACACACCACCACTTTTTTTTTTTTGTTTGTTTTTCGAGACAGGATTTCTTGGGAGTTTTGGAGCCTGTCCTACAACTAGCTCTTGTGGACCAGGCTGGTCTCAAATTCACAGAGATCTGCCTGCCTCTGCCTCCCCAGTGCTGGCATTAAAGGTGTTTGCCACCAACAACCGGCTCTTGTTTCTTTTAAAGGCTCTTGTTTCTTTTAAAGACAGCGTCTTACTCTAGCTGAGGCTGGACTGGAAATCGTTATGCAACCCAAGCTGACCTCGAATTTGCTGCAACTTCCTGCCTCAGCCTCCCAAATGCTGGGATATGAGCCACAATACTGTCTGCTTCAAATCAGTCAAGCCCTGGTTCCCTAGCGTTAAGGATCCTGGGGGCCTCCAGCAATCCTTCCAGGACGGAGTTCAGATTCACTACCATGCAGTGGAGAGACGCCCAGTGCTGGGTCACAGCCGAAAGGAGTCAGTGGTGTTTTGAAAGCCCTATCTGGCCGTTGGCCTCACACTGTGTCTGGTTTCATTCAATTATTCCAGGTCACGTTTAAACCCTGCTGTTCAACCATCTCTTCCAGCACGGACCAAGCAGGACTAGCGAGCTAACCAGGAGAAGGAAGCAGCGCCATCGCGAGGCCGCTGCTGCAGGCGGCAGGCGCGGGGCGGGGGCGGGGGCCGCTGCGGAGCGGACCACTGTCCCAGAAGTTCACACAGTCCGGCTGGAGCGGTCGGTCAGGTTTGAGTTTCGTAAAGCGTATTTTTCTCGGAGTCTTCCAGTCCACCCTAGATGGGACTGCGTTTCGCACACCCAAATGTATGGGCGAGCCACTCGGGTCACTTGGGAAAACGAAGTGACTTTTAAACGTTGCACACACCAAGTCATCACGTTTAAGTTACATTTCTTCGTTTGAGTTCACTTAACATGAGGAGGCCGGTTTGGGAGAAGCGTTCAGAGGTTTAAGGTTTTGTAAATAGCGTAGCAAGCCTGTCCGGTATTATTAAAAAGAGAGAGAGAGACAGAGAGACACAGAAACAGAGACAGAGAGACTACAAGTTCCACAATGCAATCATCACTCAACACAACGAGAGAGGTTGCGGTTGCGGGACCATTGCCTGCTGGGAACTGTAGTCCGAGGCTTGTTTGTGATGCAGGTGCAGCAACTTGGGGGAGGGGGAGCGGGAGTAAACTCTCGCCACGTGACATCGGAGATCAGGTGGTTGGTCAGCCTACGCGCAGGAGCTACGATTGGCTGGATGTAATACGAACGACGCCACTAGAGGCGGGCCAAAGGCCGGCGCAGGCGCACGGCGTTGCGAGCCTCGGGACCCCAGTGGGAGAGACTATGGCGCTCAACAAGAATCACTCGGAGGGTGGCGGAGTGATCGTCAACAACACCGAGAGGTGAAACCACGGCGGAAGGATCCTGGAGACGCGGGGCGGGTGTCGGCCGCTGTGTGGTGGGCGGTGGGATGCGGTGGGGAAGGGAATGGATGGAGCGCTGGGGGAAGGGGTGGTAACGGCCGGAGGCGGGGCTGGAGGGAGTGGGTGGGTCGTGGGGGAGGACGGGGTGCTGATCACCCGGGGAGCCGGTGGGGGTGGGGCAGCAGGATGGTGTCAGGGTTTGGGGCGCTGAGGGAGGCCGACGGGTGATTGATTTCTCGGGCTCCTTCCCAAATGGAGCCTTGAAAATAATTGCTCCGTGTTGGACGTTTACTACGTTGTTACTGCGCGGCAGCCGCTGCGTCTGCTCTACCTCACATAACACATACAATCTTGTGCGGCAGAAACTATTGTACACATTTTACAGGTAGGGCCGGAGAGACCCAGAGAGGGTAAATAACTTGGCTCTAGTGCTGTGAGTAACAGATGGGAATTGAAGGCAAGGATCTTGACCGCAAAATCAATAGGCTTAAGTACTCCTGTCCAGTCTGCTGGTCTATCCCAGAACGTCTCAGATTCCAAGAGAAAGGCTGAGGCCCTAGAGAGGTGGAACTAAAAAAGCTGTCAGCTGCTCAACACAGTGCCTGGCTCCAGCGGGCCTTGTAAAAAGCTTGTCTCTTGTGTCCCTTGCCTGGTTCTCTTGGATTCCTGATGGCTTACTTCGGTTGCCAGGGTCGAGGTCTCTCAACTTCAAGATTCTTCTTTCTCTACCCTCCCCTGCACCATCCACTCACTCTCTCCAAGTTTTCGGCCCTATTGATGGCTTCTCTTTCCTCTTCTTCCTTGGACATTGGAAATGAGACTCCTGACTTGAGCTATGCAGGCTTTAATTTCTTCTTGAAGGCCAAGGGAGGTGTGGTGGAGGTCAAAGCCTACACCCTCTTGGGACCTGTCACTTGAGAATGTTTGATGAGTCAGAAGAGAAGGTGTGGGTTGACACAGACTGGATACGCTGATGTTTGTTCTTGGCAGGTTCTGGCCAGCCCAGCCTGTATCTGGTGATCACTTTTTTTTTTTTTTTTTTTTTAATTCTTAGTTTTTCTAGACAGGGTTTCTCTCTGTAGCTTTGAAACCTGTCCTGGAACTCGCTTTGTAGACCAGACTGGCTTCGAACTCACAGAGATCCACCTGCCTCTGCCTCCCTCTCCCTGTGCTGGGATTAAAGGCGTGGGCCACTGCTGCCCGGCTGGTGATGACGTCTGTAACCAGAGTCGATCCCTTTGGTTGTGTTAGTTCTGTGTCCTCCTATTACCTCTGCACCAAGAAAGGATATTTGGGATGAAGACGAGACAGATGAATGAACTCATATGAATTTGGACCCTTACATCATGTAATGTGAGAAGCCTTACTGTTCTCCGGTGTGCGTCGTCTACACCCGGTGCCTTGACTGAGTCCACTACTTTGATGCCATTCGATGGCATCTTCACTGCTACCGCTCTCTCTGGTTTTCAGGTTATGGTTTCATTCCAGGTTGGCCTTGAACCTGAGGCAAGCATGCCTCCAGCTTTTGAGTGCAGGGAATTCAGGGATGCACCACCCCAACCAGAGCTGTTTGGTTTTGCCGTTTGGGAGTGTTTTGGAAGGTGTCTGCCCTCCTGGGCTCAGCACCTGGCTCATAGCTCATTGCTACCAAATAAGAGTCCTGGAAAGAACTTCAGCCTCACTTCTGAAACACGCATCAGTAATAATTGAAATTGGAAGTGTGTTGCTCAAACTTTGATATTTAAACTAATCTTTAATTCACATTAATCTTTAATTCACAAACCATTGTTAGAGATAAAAGCTGTGAACTCTTCCCAGAGAACCAAGTACATATGTAGACACACAGACAGACAGACAGACAGACAGATACACACACACACACCTACCTCAAGGGCTTTATGTACAGACATTTTCTACAGCTCCAGCTAAAGAAGCTTGGATTAAGGGGCTGGGGAGATGGTTCAGATGGTTAAGAACATGTTTTTAGCCAGGTGGTAGCGCATGCCTTTAATCCCAGAGGCAGAGGCAGGTGGATCTCTGAGTTCAAGGCCAGCATAGAGTGAATTCTATGCCAGCCAAGGCTGTTACACAGAGAAACCCTGTGTCAAAAAAAAACCATACACATTCATACAAACAAACAAACAAAAATATGCTCTCCCAGAGGACCCATTTAGCATCCATGTTGGGCAGCTCAGAGCCACCTGTATCTTCAGCTTCCGAGGGTCGGTTGCAAGTACAGAGTCATGTCTTTGACTCTATACTTTTATTTATTGGCTGTGTGTGTGTGTGTGTGTGTGTGTGTGTGTGTGTGTGAGAGAGAGAGAGAGAGAGAGAGAGAGAGAGAGAGAGACCATGCTAGGCAAATACTACTGTGCTACATCCTCAAGTCCCATTAGACTCATGTTTATATATTAGGGTTTGTTTTGTTTGTTTGTTGTTGTGGGTTTTTTTTTTAGATTTATTATTATGTATGGGGTGTTCTACCTGCATGTGTATACCTGTACTGCTCACCAGAAGAGGGCGCCAGATCTCATTACAGAGGGCTGTGAGCCACCATTTGGTTGCTGGGAATTGAACTCAGGTCCTCTGGAAGAGCAGCCAGTGCTCTTAACCTCTCAGCCATCTCTCCAGCCCCCGTTTTGGTATTTTTGAGACAGGGTTTCTCTGTGTAGCTCTGGCTGCCCTGGAACTCACTCTGTAGACCAGGCTGGCCTCCGACTCACAGAGCTCCACCTGCCTGTGCCTCCCGAGTGCTGGGATTAAAGGCGAGTACTGGTTATATCAGGGTTGTTGTTGTTGTTTAAAAGAGCTGTGGCTGTGACTCGGGTGGTAGAATGCTTTCCTGGCATGCACCCCTAGCACCTCAGGAAAGCAGCCTGGTGGCAGAAGTCTGTAATCCCAGCTCTTGGTAGGTGCAAGCAGGAAGAAGTTAGCAAGCTCAAGGCCAGCCTGAGCTATATGAAACCCTGCCACAGGGCTTAAGAGGGGCTGAAGAGAAAGCCCAGGTGGAGAGTCCAGTCGGAGAGGTGAAGACAGTTCCCTGGTCACTTGGGGACTGTAGGCCCAACTTGTTCCTCTCTACTTGGCTGTACTGATGGTTTCCTCATAGCCCTGTTGCAACCGTGTTGTGAGTGACTTAGTCCCGTGTCTAGGATGACTGACGACATACCATCAGGGCTCTTTGTGTTTTTTTTAATCACAGCATCCTAATGTCCTATGATCATGTGGAGCTTACGTTCAATGACTTGAAGAATATGCCAGAGGCCTTCAAAGGGACCAAGAAAGGCACTGTCTACCTTACCCCATACCGGGTAAGTGCTGCAGCTGGTCAGAGGCTCCATGCTTTCAGACGGTCATGCGCATATCCACATCACCTTGTGACGACAGCCAGTGTCGCCAGCCAGTGTCGTCATCTGAGCCCTGCAGGGGCAGAGCAAGACCCTGCTCTCTGCCTGTTTCTTTGTCACATGACCCTGGGTTCTAGAACCACCAGGCCCTTTGTGCTGTTTTCCTGACCTGGGCCATGCACATTGCACAAAATCTCTGTGGTGGGTTACAGCTGCTGCAGTGACTTGCCTGGAGGAGCCCTCAAGGCTCATGTGCATAATCAGAGTGACGAGTGTGGTAGCCAGGGTACAGTAGCAGAGACACAGCCTTCGGGCTGGGCAGAAAGCCCAGCAGAACCCTGCAGAGGGACAGGTGCCAGGCTGCAGCATCGGACTCTCCTGAGAGCGAGCCATGTGGACTCTGAGTAATACAAATTAATAGTTAGGAAAGGGCTGCCTGCAGCCTCCCTCTGGTGAGGGGTCAGGATGGCTGGGAGGGGCGCACATCTGCAGGTTTAAGGACGGCACCCACCTCTGGAGACTCAGATTCACATCTTCTGTTAGATAGTGTCTGGCACTTTGGAATCCCAGGGGGTTGGCCCACATGGTGGAGGTGGAGAACTTACTAACCTCTGATCTCCATATAACATAACATAACCCACACCTGTCACGTAAATAACCGTGATTCAGAAAAAAAAAGAAATCAAGGGATTTTCCAGGTGTGGGACAGGAGAACCCTGTGCCTGTCAGGCAGAGTAAACAATGATCCCTTCTCCTGGACCCCTGTGCTGCATTTTGTATGAGTGTGAACGTGGGCTCTGCCTCCCACCCCCAGGAGCATGCCCTGCCCTGCCCTGCCCTGCCCTGCCCTGCAGCTAGCATCATAGCAGGGCCCCCCCCCCATGCACATTGACCGCCGCCTCTGTCTCTGAAGTGTTGAAGTGACAGTGGCATATCCTCACACTGCAGCCTGCAGGTTCCTAGTGTGCACACCAGATCTGGGGTCTCCAGCATGCACCCAGGGAGGAGCCATGCCATGCGGCTTTCAGACCTGGGCCACGCTGTCTGCTCTGGCACTAGGAACAGGGCGGCACACAAAAACCAGGTGGGAAGCAATGACTAAGCTGGCTAGGTTCTGGCCCTGATGGCCTGGTCACCTCTTGTCGTAGGTCATCTTCCTGTCTAAGGGGAAGGATGCCATGCAGTCCTTCATGATGCCGTTTTACCTGATGAAGGACTGTGAGATCAAGCAGCCAGTGTTTGGCGCAAACTTCATCCAGGGGATAGTGAGGGCTGAAGCAGGAGGTAGGTGACAAGGGGACTCGGGCAGGATTGGGTCCCCAGTGAGGGGTTCTGGGCATCTCTGATGCCTCCTGGAGGGCCCTTTGCAGACTTGCGGTCCAAGCCTTCCCCCCTCTCGGTCCTGAATTAACTTCAGATGCCTGGCTAATGGCTGAGTGGCACGTGTGAGCTTTGATTGCCAGGAGCTGGGGAATGCTGGGTTAGACCAGCCTGGTGTTCAGGGAGTGAGCCCAGCAGACTGAAAACTAAAGGTGTTCATTTTTCCCCAGGGAAGGCCCAGGTTTTAGGTTTGGGGAGGAGCCTTCCATGAGAGCCAAGAAAAGGCAGCTGCTTTACCATAGAGCTAGCAGGGCCCTGCTTTGAGGCTGACTCCAGACTCCTGTTCTGTACCAGGAGAGTCCTACCCAGAACCTCCATGTCAGTTACCAGGAGAGCTGCCCAGGGCATTAGAGGCGTGTAGGGAAGCCTCCCTCCCCTCCCCATTGCTGATGGCCTTGGTGCTGACGGTGTACTTGGCTGGGGGTGGGGGAAGGCCCTGTAGAGAGGATGAAACCCACAAGCAGGAGCCGGGCCATCCCGGCTGCAGGCAGAAGCCACGCCCCTTCCTTCTCGGCAGCCTTGTCAGTGTTGGACCCCTGCCAGAAGAGGACAAAGCCGCCTCTTGAACTGAACCTGTTTTCCTCCCTCCTCAGGTGGCTGGGAAGGCTCCACTTCCTACAAGCTGACCTTCACAGCAGGGGGCGCCATTGAGTTTGGGCAGCGGATGCTCCAGGTGGCATCACAAGGTATCCTGGCTCTTAAAAAAAGGGGCTAGCACGTGGGTGTCTTGTTTGTCCTTTTATTGTGTATTGTAAGCACCAGGAGCCCAGCTGACAGGTCTGGGAGTTGGGAAAGAATCCTGTAATTTCCGTCTGTGGGTTTCCTCTGCCCATAACAGGCATGCAACATTCTGACAGAAATGTTTGGACTGAAAAACAGACAGAAAACCCAACTGTTAAAGTACCGTCCAGCAGCCATTGTAAATTAATCACCAGGCACTGTGTTCCGCGTTCCTTCCCTCCCGCCCTTTAGCCGCCACACACCCCCCCCCCCCCCCCCGTTCCCTTTCCATCCACTCCTGTCCTGTGGCTCTTTTCCTGCCCTCCCTCAGCATGGTGAGCTAGGCAGACTCAGTGGGTTGGGCAGTGCGATAGTTGTAGGGCACATCTGTGGGCACAGTCCTGGGGCTCGTCAGTCCCCGAGGCGGGCAACACTCACCTCTCTCCCCTTGCACTTGTAGCCTCCAGAGGGGAAGCCCCTAATGGAACCTACGGGTACCCTTACATGCCCGGCGGGGCCTATGTCTTCCCCCCGCCAGTCGCCAATGGAATGTACCCCTGCCCTCCTGGCTACCCCTATCCACCGCCCCCACCCGGTGAGTGTCCTTTGCTGCCCCGCCTCAGCCTCCCCACCCACCCACTAACCACACCTTCAGGTTGCAGGGGGCGATGGGCCCTTCCACCTGCTTTAGACCCAACAGACATCGGAGTGTAGAGGGCATCCCAAGGAACTAGACAGGCCACTCCCAGGGTTAGCCTTCTGAGGGGGCCACGGGGGCCTGCTCACTGTCTGTCACTCTCTTCCCAAGCAGAGTTCTACCCAGGACCTCCCATGATGGATGGAGCCATGGGTTATGTACAGCCCCCACCACCGCCCTATCCTGGGCCTATGGAGCCTCCAGTCAGTGGCCCTAGTGCCCCCTCCACCCCTGCAGGTGAGGCCCCCAGGCTGTCAGGTGACTGAAGACTGCTGGGGAGGGCCTCTGGCCTACAGACCACCCAGAGGGGCCAGCAGCGTGGTAGCCCGGTGGTGAGGAGCTATATTCCAAGGGCTGGGTGTGGTCAGTGAGCCCTCGCCTGGCCGTGGGCTAGGTCTGTGTTCTGTGTCCCCAGTGTCACTGAACAATCTGAAAGTGAGATGAGGTCTAGATTCCAGCCTTGTTGGCCCTCAGCTACCAGTGACCTTGGACCCAGGTCACCCTGTATGCCTCGATGCTCGAATCTACAGATGGTCGCCAGGACCGCCCCATAGACTTACGCCAAGGGCATGTAAAGGGACTGCGAAGGCAGTGCCAGCACACGGCCGGTGCTTAGGAAAGTCACGGAATCTTCTGGTGGCCAGAGTGCAGCACCAGCTGCCCTGACTCAGGCAAGGGCAGAGGAGCTGGGCATGTCACCCATTGCCATCCAGCCATTCGTTTCCTTTTACAGCTGAGGCCAAGGCCGCAGAAGCAGCTGCCAGCGCCTATTACAACCCAGGCAACCCACACAATGTCTACATGCCCACGGTAAGTAGGGTAAACCGGCCCGCCCTCTCAGTCACACGGCCTGGGAGCTAGAGATGAAAGAGGCCACAGCTCATTCTGAGATGTCTCATGTGACCTTGGTTTTCATCCTCTAGAGCCAGCCTCCGCCGCCGCCCTACTACCCCCCAGAAGACAAGAAGACACAGTAGACCTTGCCCACCTCCCTGCCTCTTACTGGATGACCCCCCCCTCCTGGGCCTCCCATGGAGTTGCATCTGAGACTCTGAGAGGCCAGGGAGGGAACTAGCCCTGGGCAGGGCTCCTCCCAGAGGCGCCTCCCAGCTTCCCACACTAGCTCAGCCCAAGGCACTGTTCTGTCTAGCTTCCGGCTCACCATCTCTGGGGCTCTTGGAAGCCTGGGATTACCCCTTGCTCCTCACTGAAATAGCTCCTCCCCACAGAGGGACTCTCTGGCCACTCCTCCACCATGGTCCAGCCCCCTCAGCCTGGTGGCCATCTTACTCCATCGTGTGGGCTCATCAGACCAGTCCTGTGTCTCTCGTAGGGGCCCTGCCAGGCCGTGCTCACATTCCTCCTTCCTGGGGTGTGCCCGACCCTGGAAGGCTACTGTTCCAGCAGAGGGCCAGGCCCGGCCTCCGTCACACTCACTCTGCTACGCTTGTCCTTGTTCCTTTCCTTGCCCCTGGCTTTGGGAATTTTACCCTGAGCTTCCAGTAGCCAGTGGCAACAGAAGCGACCGAGGTAGCTGGGAGGAGCCCCTCTTGGAGTGTTCTGGGAATAACCCCTCCCCCTTTACAAGGGGCTTTTCCACAGGAGCGGTAGAGAGTGCATGTCTGTGCAGTCATGACTTTGGTCTGAGAACCAGCACCTCCAACCATGTGACCTGAACCCTGCTATCTGCCCCTGTGTGAGCTTCATGCCCCCTGGATGCACTAAGATTTGCTCTTGTTTGTTCCTGGTCTGGACACAAAATGAGGAGATGGTTATTTAAAGAGAACTCCCTATTTATTTGACACACACACACACACACAAAAATCCAGTTAATATATTAATGTGAAATAAACCCTGTTTGCACCTTGATTTGTTTGCTACAACTGTGAAACAGTAAATGAAGTAGCTGGACTCTCTTGACTCTGTGTGGTTACGAGGGTGAGGTCTTCCGGGAGGAGGGGCTGCTGGCAGCTGGGAGGCAGGACTGAGGAGCCTGTTTCCTGTCAGTGAGTCTCAGTCCCACAGAGGCCTCTACCTGCCTGGGATGGTGCATAGTGCCACCCACTGCCATCGGGGGTGGGGAGGGGGCCAGAACAAGACCTGTATCCCCTTCTGCAACAACCCCACTGAGCACGGGCTGGGAAGCCAAGCCACTTTGTCAGGCAGACACGGCAGGACTCCTGTGAGGGGAATGTGGCTTCATACCCCCTGACCTAAGAGGAAAAGATGGAAGAAAGCTAAATCCACTGCCAGACCTGCACTCCACAAGGAACTGTGGGGGATCCCAGTACCAAAGTCCTCTCCTGACAAAAGGCTCCACATAGAGAAGGCAGCAAGGGCTTGCCACCTCTTCTGCCCCCCCCCCCCGACCCTCAGGCCTTTGAAGGAGCTCCCTCCTGACCATCAGTGCTGGGACTGGGCTTCAGGTCACTTCTGTCCCTCTCTGGCTAACACCAGGTAGTACCTTCCTTCCCCTGGAATGTCACCTGTGGGGTGGAGCTGGTTGAGCTGTTGGCTACCGAGCAAGAGGAAATGCTTCCCAGTCACTGCCCTGAACCTGCCCTACCCTAACCCAGATCTGGGGCCCATCCAGGAAACCTTGGGGTGAGAACACCACAGGTCTAGGTCAGCTTCCTTGGCCCTGGCACAGTTGAGGCAGGCTGCTACATAGCCTGGCCTTAATACCCTTGCCAGGAGCTCTGGACTCTCCCCAGGGCCTCCGTGGGAGGATGGGTGGGGCTAACCCCGCCCACTGGGTACACTTTCTGCTCCAGGCTGGGGCAGATCCTGCAAGGATTGAGGCTGAAGGAAGGTGCAGACACCCTGACCCTTCCATCCTCCACCCTCCCCTAGCAGAGGACCGCTGGGGCTCTTTGCATCATCCTGCGGCTTTGTCGGCAGCTAGGGGGTTGGTAGAAGGAAGGGTAGAGTCAGCCACCATGGCGACACACCTCTCCCACCCCCATCAGCGCCCTCCACTCTTGCGCCAGGCCATCAAGATAAGGCGCCGCAGGGTCAGGGACCTCCAGGATCCGCCACCCCAAACCACCCAGGAGGTAGGAATGACCACAGAGGGGCAAAGAGCCAGCCTGGGGGCGCAGCGCAGTCTGGAGGCCCCCACCCGCCTACCCTGTCTGGCCCTGGGCATACATAGCCTTGTGGGTGGGCAGAGAGAGGTCCTCCTTGTGTTCTCTGAGCCACGGTGGGCTTCTCTAGTCTCATCCCTTTGATGGGCCGGCACCTCCAGCCCTGTCCCTCTAGCTCTGAAGGCATCAGTCCTTCACTGCCCTCCAATGACAGTGGGCTGCCTAGGGACCCCCTGAGATACCCCAGACCTGCCTGGCTCGTCCCCCACCTCTGCTGCTAAGGCCTCACTTCCGCAGCTGGGGTGAGGAGTAAGTGGCCGCCTGATAAGCACTGTTGTTTCCTCTGGGGAAGGAAGGGGGTAGCGGTACTGGAGAGCCCACTGTGGGGCCGGCTGAACGCCCATGGACCTCAGGCATGGCAGGCCGGGGGATGAGCAAAATGACCCAGGGGTGAGCCCTTCAGGCAGCCTTATGTTGGAACAGGTGAGGGGGATCAGTGGGCCTAGAGGCCAGACAGGCTGAGGTGCTGGGGTCCCTCTCTCTCGGGTCGCCATGCCTGACTGGGCAAGCCTTCGGGGACAGCTTGGACTTTGCCCTTGCTCCTAGGTCCAGGTTCAGTCCCATCATTTCTCCACAGAAGAGGTAAGAGGTGAAGTTGGGAGAGTGTGTGGGATGTGGAAGCAGCCCAGCCCTACATCCTCTCTGAGGGAGGCCCCTCAGGCCCCAGAGGCGGAGGCGGCGGCCGCCACCTAGTAGAGAACACTCTGTCTCAATCATCCATCCCTGCACATGTGGCTCTTTGTCCCTTTTCTGGGCTTGAGATGACGGTTTCAGGGAGGCTGCTGGGTGATAATGGGGTTCCTGAGGTGGCCCTGCTATATCTCAGCGGAACCTGCTGTATGAGGAAGCCCTTTATACTGTCCTACACCGCCTGGGCCAGCCAGAGCCCAGCCACGTGAAGGAGGCCTCAGAGCTGCTGTGCTATCTGCAGGAGGTAAATTACCCACCCTCCTACAGCCCAGGCTCAGCTCCTCCCCCCCACCAGGCCACCCTACCTGTGTCCCCAGTCTCTCACACTTCTGTCCTCTTCAGGCCTTCCAGGTGCAGCCCCAGGAGCACCAACAGATGCTTCAGCGCGTTGGGGAGCTCCAGGTAACCTGGGCCAGGGCACTCTGGGAAAGGAAGGGGCATGGGAAGCCTGGCCTTCTCAGGAACTCAGGCAGCCCCCACTCCCATCCCTCCAGAAACCTATATTTTGCCTGAAAGCAACAGTGAAGCAGGCCAAGGGCATTCTGGGCAAGGATGTCAGTGGTGAGCGTGTTTGGGGTGCCCTGGGACTCCTCTCCCCATCACAGTCTGGCCTTGAACTCTTTGCCAGAAAACCCACCCAGCCAAGCCTTCCGTGCTTAGATGCTGAGTTTAGAGGGACCCTTATCCAGCCTTCTCTGGAGGCGGCTGGGACCCAGGGAGCTGATGGGAATTCAAGGGAACGTGGCTGACTTCTTGGAGTCTTGTCCCTCACTCCTTGCCAGGGTTCAGTGACCCCTACTGCCTGCTGGGCATCATCGAGCAGGGAGTTGGCATACCGGAGGGCAGCCCGGTGTCTCGACGTCGACAGAAGGCGGTAGTGAAGCACACCATCCCGGAAGAGCAAACCCATCGCACCCAAGTCAAAAACCAGACGCTGAGTCCTGTCTGGGACGAGACCTTTGTCTTGTATGTGGCTCCGTCCCAGCCTCTACCTTCTATTCCCTGCTCCCATCTGGGGCTCCTCTGGGTGTAGGTTTTCTAGCCAACGAGATCGGTGGTCTTCCTGGGTCGAGAGAGTGAGCTCAACCCTCGGTCCTCAAGTAGAGCTGGAGGGAGACTCAGCTAGATAGGACAGACCCATGACATGAAGGCCCAGCATGGACCTGCCTGATGCCGTGCTGCACACCTATGATGCTAGAAGAGTAAGGCAGAAAGATGGCAAGTTCAAAGCTGACCTAGGCTACATTGCAAGACCCTGCCAAATGACTAAACATATATAGTATGGCTCTATAGTAGCAGAGCAGGGATAGTTGGGCATCTCTGGATGGTGACCAGGGGCACTCCAGCCTGTCCTCAAAATAGAGAAGTAGTCAGGAAGGAGGGCTTGGTGGGGTGGCTCAATCTTTAGTCCCTTCACTTGGGAGGCAGAGGCAGGCAGAGTTCAAGACCAGCCTGGTCTACAGAGTGAGTTCCAGGACAGCCAGGGCTGCATAAGATCCTGTACCCAAGAGAAAAATTTAAAAGAGGAGGGGAGGACTAGTCAGGAAGGAGCTACAACTCCAGTTTCAGAGGACAGGTTCTGGGCTTGTGGCCAACCCTTGTGACTTGGGCCAGCGTGAGTGTGCACGGGTACCCTGCCCAGCTAAGGCCCTTCAGCAGATGTATTCTTTTCCCCTTGAAGGGAGTTTGAGGACATAACCAGCGCAAGCTTTCACCTGGACATGTGGTGAGTGGCCCGCCCCGCCCCGCTCCAAAGGACGAGGGACAAAAGGAGGCATGGGGGCAGGTGTCAGCCCTTATTTACTGATGAGGTCACGGGCCTCTTCTCTAACCCGTGCTCAAACCTCTGGCTTACAGGGACCTGGACACTGTGGAATCGGTGAGACAAAAGTTTGGGGAGCTCACGGACCTGCACGGGCTCCGAAGGTGGGTGCTACAGACTCAGAGGAAGGAGGTCCCCCACCCTTTCACACACACCCTGGTTTCTTGAGTACCCAGGTGGCTGACCCTTCACCAATCCTGCCTCAAACAGGATCTTTAAGGAAGCTCGGAAGGACAAGGGCCAGGACGACTTTCTGGGCAACGTGGTTCTGAGACTGCAGGTGAGGGAGGTCAGGACAGAGGCAAAGGCAGGGAGGCTGAAGGGCCCTGGGGGCCTTGAGGTCTGACCCAGCCTGAGCCTGGCTGCTGCCCCGACTGCGCCCCTGTCCTCGCCTCAGCTCTCTGCAGGGTCCTGATGCTCGCCACTGTGCATCTTGCCTGCTAGGACCTGCGCTGCCGAGAGGACCGATGGTACCCGCTGGAGCCCTGCACAGAGACCTACCCGGACCGCGGCCAGTGCCGCCTCCAGCTCCAGTTCATTCACAAGCGGGTCTGCCAGGGCCTGGGCCAGCGGCTGGGGAGGGCGGGGTGGATCTCTCATGGAGTCCTCCGCTCACAGCCCTGCTGATCCTATTGCAGAGAGCCACGGTGGCCAGCCGCTCTCAGCCCAGCTACACTGTACATCTCCACCTACTACAGCAGCTGGTGTCTCATGAAGTCACCCGGCACCAGGTACGGCTGCCTGCCAGAGCTGGGCACCACCAGGGCCACCTGTTGGGTCCTGATAAGCCACCACTGTTTCCCTTAGGCTGGCAGTGCCTCCTGGGATGCAACCCTGAGTCCCCAGGCTGCCACCATCCTCTTCCTCCATGCCACTCAGAAGGACCTGTCTGACTTCCACCAGTCCATGGCGTGAGTACACACCCTGCCCGGGACCCCCAGGGACCTTCTCCGCCATGCCCACCCAGCCACAGGCTGGCCGCTCAAAGCACAGCTTTTCTTTTGCTTTTGCTTTTTGAGTCAGGGTTTCTCTGTGCAGCCCTGGCTGTCCTGGAACTCACTCTGTAGGCCAGGCTGGTCTTGAACTCACAGAGGTCCGCCTGCCTCCGCCTCCCGAGTGCTGGGATTTAAGGTGTGTGCCACCACCATCCCGTTTTCAGCATTGCCTCCGAGGTCACTCGCTGTCCTTGTCTGCGTCTCTCAAGTCCTGGG